TATTTCCATCTATTGTAATTTTCTTCTGAATTCTAAATAGCTAAAAATATATCCCTATAAGCAGTGATGGTAAATGTCAAAGACTGTCACCATGACAGTCCCCATTAAACACTCCCCAAAAAGGAGGGTCCAGAAATGGTGGGCAGCTGGATCACCTGCATAAACAAATGAAGAACAGGTCTCTAAAAAATGATGGCTCTTAATTGCCCATTCCAGACCAAACCACTCTCAAATATTTTGCATTACCACCCTGTGAGCCTTGCCTGCAGTATACCAATAAGTTTAGTTTAGTATAACTTGGCATTTTTTATGTTACCCTATTGCCTATGGGTCCATCCATTGCTGGACTACAATCCCCCAAACTTTTGTAATTCATTTCGGATATGGTGCTCAAGGAGATTCCTCATGCTTTCTTTTGAGGGTGAGTGTTCTCCTTCAGCACCAGAGCAAACTTAGAAACCAAAACAGTGAAGCAAGACTGTTCCCCATAAAAGGAATACATTTCTGCAGATGGAATATTATGCAGCTGGGACTTGATTATAGCCAGCATGGGCATTGTTGTGACAAAGGGAAATCATTCTTAACAGGTTGATAAAGCCTTAACAACAACCACCCCAGCTTTTTCTCCAAATAGAAATGCATTTCTTTTTAGGTGAAATGAGTTATATTATGCACTTATGAGAGGAAAGCTATCATGATGTAATTGCTCACTGTATACTTCAAAAAAAGTATTCCTCGTTTCTTAGAAGTCTGTGATAATTCAGCTAGCATAATATTAAATATGCAAATTTAGAAACAAAAACGATAAAGCAAGTCTGTTCCCACAAATCATGAACCTATGACTACCTCAATAAGCCTAGAAAATAAGAACTAGAAGCTGAGCCTTCTTAGTTGTGGCATCTTCTTTGTGGAATGCATTGCCACAGGAACTATATCAGGTGCTATCCGTCTTCGCCTTTGAAAAGCAGCTAAAAACTGAATTTTTTAAGGAAGCTCTTGGGGAGGTTCTTCCCAGTTGATTAAAATGGAGGAGGAAAGAGGGGCACCTGTATACGCTGATTAACAGGGCTTGAAAAATTTTAGAATGTCTCACCAGTCAGTCAAAAATTTCACCAGTCAGCATGACCGGACTATAGCGTTGCAATTTATTTTAACAAATTTAAACTAGGCACTAGTTCACTTTTATTTCTAAGTAACAACGCATACAAATCCAAAATAAATTGTATTACGTACATGGGAATCACTGATTTATACCTTCAGTCTTGGGTTGCTTTATTACCTGCGTGCCTATGGGGTCATGAAGCTTGTATTTTGAATGCCTTTCTTTTGAATGTCTCCAGCAAAAATAAAACTGAAAGAAAAGTGCCCAGCCTCTTTAAGGAGCCACGCTTCCCTCCCACCCCAAGATGTGTCCTCATTCGGTTGAAATTGGGAGCAGGGAATCTCCTGCTCTACATTCTACATTCTGCTCTATATTCCCCATTCTCCTGCAGAGCTATATCTCTATGTGGTGCTCGAACTCTCTTCTCGTGAGAAGAGGGCAATTTTCCTTTTGCAATGGGAGGGAGGAGGGGAGGACTGCATGATGAGAGAGAGAGAAACAGGCTCATCAAGCAGCATTTTTCACTCATCACAGACAAGTGGCCAAGTGCATTTTTCAAGCCCTGCCGATTAATAGTTCTTTGTCACCTATCTTCTAGTTCTCTGGTATATTAGAATTTGTTTTATAATTCTGCTTTTAGTCTTGTACACCAGCGTTCCCCAAGCCCCAATACGCGGCCCGGTGCCGGTCCGTGGTGTGGGCCAGACCAGGCTGCCGAGAGAGACCTCCCGCCGCCCCACCCGCGCACACTCACCCCCGCGCTGCCCGTTTGCGTCTGCACCCATGCTCTGGCATGCCCACATGAGTGCCACACTGCCAATTGTGCATGCGCATGGGCATGCGTGGGTCCCCATGAACGCACGCTGTTGTTTGTGCATGCACGGTCATGAAGGCCCATGCACACCTGTGTGCATGCACAAATGGCTGTGCGCCGCCCATGCGTGCACCCGTGCAAGAGCATGCGCAGCTTGTTCATGCATGCGTGCAAACGCAGGGGGTGCCCTGCTTTCCCTAGCTGGTTCACAGACCGGAAAAGGTTGGGGAATGCTGTTGTACACCACCCAGATTAGCAGTTTGCTACATTGGCAGTATCAAAACTGAGTAAATAAAATAAATTGGGATTCAACCTGTTCTAGAAGGGATTGTTCTCTGACAGCTCAGGTTCATAGTCTGCAAGTGCTCCTTGACTTTGCATTGTTCCTGGACCACTGGTGGCAGTGGTGACAAGAAATGCCTTTTCACAACTTTGACTAGTGCACCAACTGTAACCTGTAGTGAGTTGACCTGGCTCACCAGCAGTCATCCATGCCTTAGTTATATCGCAGTTGGCCTATTGCAGTATACTCTGTGTGGGGCAACCCTGGAAGGAGGCCTGGGATCTTCAATTGGCACAACACGTGACAGCTAACTGCTGCACAGTTATGACCCTCACGCTGAAAGACCTCCACTGGTTGCCAGTTGTTTACTTGGCCCTAAATGGCTTCTGCTATAGATTGCTTGTCTCATTATGAGGCTGTCTAGATTTTAAGATCCTCAGAGGTGGCCCTCTTAAAAATGCTGGTGGTATCAGAAGCCAGTCAAATAAGCATGCAGGAGAGGGCCTTCTCCGATCTAGCACCTAGGCTATGGAATGCACTCCTGTCTATGTTGTGATCTGTTTCCATTCTGACTGTTTTTAAGAAGGGAGTAAAACTAAATCATTTTAGACAGACATTTGATGTTTAAACTTCTCTGCTGTGTTGCTTTCCATTTGTATCCTTTTTCAATTTTATTTATTTCAACGTTATTTCATGTATTTCACTTGACTTTTATGATCTTATATTATTTTGTAAGGCTTTAGTTAAATGTCAGGTTTGCCTGTTTTTATTTCTTTTTTAAAACTATGTCAGCTGCCTTGAGTGCTAAGTATCTTTTGGTGAAAAGGTGAGGTATACATGTAATAAATTGATAAAATAAATTCCAGAGAAAATTATTATCATGGAAATAAGGGCCATTAATCTTTGTGGCTAATTCCGTACTTTTGTGTGGAAAGTATGTGCGTCTTATGGAGCGAAGAAAACAGATTATATTTTCCTGTTTTCTTCTCCTAAAAAATTGGTGCGTCTTATAGAAAGGTGCGTCTTATGGAGCGAAAAATACGGTACTATCATGGAAACAAGGGCCATTAATCTTTGCGGCTAATTCCGTACTTTTGGCTGTTTGAAATCGTTGCTTGTGGCAGTTCTTTGGCTGTGTGAGCTGGTCATGGGCAACAACACTATTTCAGGGGGGCAAGATTCCATTTTTATCATTTTCAGGCACACAACAAAAGCTGTATCTTGTACGTGGTGGTAGTGCATATACCTGTTTGTAGGCTTTTCCTTGTAAACATGCCCTTTTGTTTGCTGTTTTACACGACATACCCCCTTTTTTGGACCATAACTCTCAGGGTCCCCAGACAGCATGGGCAGTCTCTGATTATGGGATTTTATGTGCTATATACCCTGCAGTGCACACTTTTAATCTGAGAAGTGTATTGCCAAATTCATAGAAGAACAAAAGCTAATTAATAATTGCATTCCAGCTCACATATCCATTTGATTACACATGAATATTGGGTGGAATAATTTTTAAAATACTAACCTCCCAGTTTCTCTTCCATTTTCCCTCAGTAGTCGTTTGAATCAGCCTAAAAATTACTAATTAACACCTATCAACCATGGAAAGTAAATGGGATTACATTTACACTATTCTTCTGTTACAGCACCACTTTGCATGGCCATTTATGTCAAAAGTTCAGCAGTCTCAGCTTTCTTTTACTCTTAATTTATTGAATTGTTTCTAAAACAGATGTTATAAGATCAAAGTGCTGAAAGGGATTTTTAACCAACTTGACCACTTGTGTAAATATCCTTGAACTTCTTTCATTTATTGCTTCAGCATGCCCATTTTATACATGTTCTGCATGTTTATTCTCATAAGCGATGGTTCTGACCAGCAAGTTAAACCTACTAAGTTTGCTGAGAGAGGAGTCTTATAGGAGACTGATGGTTATTATTAGAATTAAAATGATGGACATCAGATAGTGTACATTTGTATAATACTACACTAAAATTTTCTTTTTTGTCCATATTTCCTTGCTCTTCCCATTTATACATTTATAGGATTATTCTCTTTGTTTTCACTTTAATACTCCTATTGCCCTATCTTAAAAGTAAAAACATACGCTTACATATTTACAATATAAATCAGAACTGAAGTATCACACAGCTGTGGAATAATACAATAAGTACCATTGTTATTGGTAAGATTAAAGGGAAGAAAGAAAGGAAAGAGAAAAGAGCAAGAAGAAAAGGCAGAATATTGTGGCATTTTAAAGACTGAGATTTATTTCAGTGTGAGCTTTCACTGATTAAAATCTACTTCTTCAGGCACAAGGAATGCAAATACATGTATTAAATATTTATGCATATCCCCATGATGGTAAGACTCAATGGACAGAATAAACAGAAAATGGACAAAGTAACAATGGTTTATTAATACAAGAATGAGACTGTCAGGTAGCAGGAACCAGCTAGAGTGATGAACTGTATGCCAGGTTGTCTTGGCAGAAATGCAGAGTGGTTTCTGGAACAGAGGTCAGAAATTGGCTACCTAATCAAGTTTCACTGTATTTCTAAAAGTCTATCTAAACAGAGATCAAGGCTTCTTAGTCACACCATCTATTATCAACCCAGCTTTCTGTAACATATGGGTATAAAATAAAGGGAGAAAGAGCAATCAGGTTCTTGCCTGATTTCTTAACACTCTAAAAGCACAGTGCAGGTGTAAACTAAGAAGAGACTACGTTTTTAGTAGGAATCTTATGTGTTTCTACAAAAAACCCATTTTGCTAATCCTTCTCTACTTTGTTTTGCAGGTTGTCACTCTCTGGTATAGAGCTCCAGAAGTTTTACTTCAATCCAGTTATGCAACACCAGTTGATCTTTGGAGTGTTGGCTGTATATTTGCAGAAATGTTCCGCCGAAGGTTGGGAATAATTTAAATGTCTTTTATTGTTTTAGAAAAGTGAAATAACATTGGCTTATATCAAAAAAACTATGGGTGGATTTTAGATTTTAAATAAAAATAGAAGGAAGGAGAATATAGGCTATAATCATAGATGCTTTTTGACATTTGGAAAGGTGACTAATTGAAGTTGAGGTCTATAGGATATATGTTCAAGGCTAGATAAAGCAGTGATATTTTCAGACCATTGAATGATGGATGATGACTGTTCGTTTCTCTAGCCTTGAAGTATGGGTTCTTCTTCGTGGCCTCTGTGAATCACACCCTGGGTGATTCGTGCCTCGTCGGAAGATTCTAGAGCTTCTGCGGTAGGAATAAACACATTAATATCTCATTGGAAGATTTTAGAGCTTCTGCGGTAGCAATAAACACAATAAACACGTCCCCACCTTGGCCCCAAGCGTCCCCTTTCAGTTTCTTTCAACCGCTGTGTTGAGAGCCTCAAATTCTGCTTCTGTGAGTAAAGGAGAAAGAGAGCCTATTCTTGATTCATTCCTGTTATCAATCTTTTTCTTTTAAACTATTAGATCAAACTCTTTATCATCAGAGATTTTTCTTTTTCCCTCACTCGGCCTCCGGCCACAGCACACACCCCCTCCAATCATCAGTTTTTCTCCTCAGTTATTTTCTCCTATTCATGGCCCCTTTGGGCCCATTTAAGCACTGCATTATCTGTGACAATAAGATCCCACTTTCCGACGGACAGGCTAAGTGCCTTTTCTGCTTGGGAGAACAACATCAAACTTCCTCCTGTATCCATTGCAAAAAGTTTAAGTTCTTCGATCTCACCTCTCGAGGCTAAAACTCCGACTTTGGGAACAATCCTTACAACCAGTTCAAATGGCCCAACCTCCCTGTAGGGCCACTCCCCAAACCAAAGCAATGGAAAAAGCCATTACTGAATCATCGAAACAATGTCCATCGGCTACACCAGCTCATTCCAATTCTCCATCTGCATCATCTAAGACCTCAAAGACACACAAATCGAAACTCTCCATACCAAAGTCCTCGACTTCAAAAACAACCTCTAAACATCAGAGACCGACTGAAGCTGCTCCAGCTCTGGAGCCTGTTTATCCTGAATGAGCTAAACAGTCTACAGTAAGCCTACAGACATCCCACCACAACCACAACTCTCTGAATCAATTTCGGTCGGATATCCCTCAGATGATGACAGACTTCCATCTCATCAACCCTGTTCTCAGTCTCCAGAATGGGATGATAGAGTTGATCAACTAACCTCCTCTCCTCCCAGTCCACAACCTTCCATTCCTTCCAGCAATCCTTGGTTATTCCATCGCCCGAGGATTCCCATTCCGAATGGCTCGACACCGTTCCATATTTGATGCCCTCGGATCGCACACCGATTCCTGACCAGGACCGTAACATCAACAATCACGACAGTTTGCTTCATTGCATGTGGTTCAAACCCACGCTCAGCATGGACATCGGGTTGCCATTTGCCCCGACCAGTGCTCTGCTTGACAAACTGTACCAACTAGTCAACCAGGTGTTTTACCCGGTTCGATAATAGCATCTAATAGTCGGCCTGCCTCTCGACAACCATCGGTGTCGAAGCAGCCACATCACCAAGAGGTGACTGTACCTCGACCTGCTTCCCATTTGATATAAAAAAAACCTCAGACAGTCGAGCAGATTTCATCCACACATGAGGCTTTTGCAGCTCCAACCTCCCAATACTTTCCTACTACAATAGATGAAGGAAATCATTCTTCACGCTCGGTGTCGCCAATGTCAATTTATTCTACTGCTGTGCCATTGCATCAGCAACCTCCATTTTGACATCACAGAGACACAGGCTCTGATATCGATGATCCTTGCTGTTCATCCTGGTCCATGGACACTCGCTCCATTCCGTTACATCAACACAGTTCCCGCCCTCCGGTAAATCCAAGTCATCGACCCCGGCATTGTTACAATACCGAGTTCAACACGAAGGTCCATCCCTACCAATCGAGGTTACACCAAGGTCCATCCCTACCAATCGAGGTTTGTTGATGCTCAACCACCATCTTTCGATGTCATCAATCATCGACATAGACAGATTTCCATGGACATGCCACGTCCATCTTTTCCAACTCATAACCACCAATACTATGAAACTCATCCTCTCAACACCAAAGTCGATTGACAATCCGTCGACTCCAGACGCGACCTCAATGGCTCTGACCATGGATCTCAGCCGCAGACTCCATCAGTTTTACTTACCTCTCCAGAGTTGGACATTGTTGATACTGACTCACTGGCAGAGGATTTCCAGACCTATGCCCAACTTACGATTTGCTTGGCTAAATCCCTTGATCTGCAAGTCCACCAACCATCGACAGAAACAGCCGATCATCTGTATGACCCGATCTCTAAAAATACAACCACTCTGGTGCACATATTGATGTTACCATCTCTCCTTACTATTGCACAGAGATCCTGGACAAAACCAGCTGCCTCCCATACCATGTCTAAGCAAATTGATAGCCTCTATAGAATTCAGGAGCCATTTTCCTCCAAAAACAGCTGTAAATTCTCTATTTGTCAAAGCCTCTCAATTGAGATATTGTCACCGACAGTCTCTCAGATCACCAAATAAAGACAGCCGACGAATAGACTCCATGGGTAGATGGCTTTACTCTTCCACAGTCTTTACTATGCGAGTCGCTAATTATCAAGGAGCCATGGGAGCTTACCAACGCTTTCTCTGGGACAGCATGTCTACCTTTATTGTATCCCTGCCAGAGGATAAAAAGATACTAGCTCAAACCTTCCAACAAGAGGGTCTCTCCGTTGCTAAACAACAGGTGCTTTCTGCCCACCACACCGTAGACACTGCAGCCAAGTCCATGGCCACTTCAGTAGCCCTATGCCGTTTTTCCTGGATCAGCATCTTCGGCCAGCTTAGCCGAAGATGTTTGGGCACGTATTGAAGACCTCCGCTTTGATGGAGCAGGTCTTTTTCATGCTGAAACTGACGATATACTAGAGAACATACAAAAGAAACGTTCAGCAGTCAGACGTTGGGGAGTTCACCCTTCCTACTAGCAACATCCTCAACAAAATCAATGGAAACGACCCTAAAACCTGTTCCAGAGGTTCCAGTGAGACCCTCCATGATAAACCTCTTACAATCCATACTTCAAAAACCAAAGAGCCAAAACCCAGCAACAGCCTGCCACTAGGCGGAATGACCAGAAACTCAAACACCATGTTTGACGTTCCTCTGACCGAGATCGCCAACCCCCCCACCAAGCCTGCCCTCTGTAAACACTGCATGGGAATCCATATTCCTTGGTACTCTCCATCATCAAAAACAACTACTGCATCCACTTCTTCGAGCTTCCTCCGATAACACACGTTGTTACTCCACCGTCACAACCCCTGCAACAAGAAATAACGAATTTACTTCTCAAAGATGCCATACAACCCGTTTATCAAAACAACACTGGATTTTTCTCTTGCTATTTCACCGTCCCCAAGAAAGATGGGAGACTTCGCCCTATTCTAGATTTAAGATTATTAAACAACTACATTGTCACCACAAAATTCAAGTTATTTTAATCCTTATATTATTGTCCAAATCCTAAAACAGCAATGATGCTGTGAACGACCATGACAAAAGACAGCAGTTAAAGATTCCAAGGCACACTGAAGGGTTATGAAAATTAAAAAATCCAGGTTGTATAAAAGTGTTTCAGCTTAGTTCCAGAAATTTTGAAAACTAGGCCTACCTCCTTGTGGAAGGTATTCCAACACTATAAAGGCCTTATGTTTTGTGATTGGGGACTGGAATGTGCAAGCATTTCCCAAACCTGCCAAAAAGCAATGAAGCACTGTATGCAAAATATATAGACTTAGGTCTTTGTCTGGTCTAAAGCACTCAGACTAGTGTAAATTCACTGTACTGGAAATTTAATGGAGAGCACACATACACAGAGACACACGTCATCCACCCCCTTTCATCCTTCCCTCTGAGTCAGAAAGTGGCCATCTGAGATCACATCTCCACTTATTTTTTGTGGGGCTCTGTCTTCTTCCTCAAAAGAGGCTTTCTAGTCTATCCTATGGCTTGTATGACATGCCTCAGGGACTATAGTATTATAGCCTAAATAATCAACATTTACAAATTAATTTAGAAATTTAGTGTAGAAAAACAAATTTGCTTTCGTTATTTTTAAATTAGGTATTGATTTCTGATTTTAAGATAATTTAAAATGAAAGTGTACGGGAAGTAAATTTAGGTTTTATTCTCTGGCTGCTAAAATTACCAGTTTGACAATCCTCACCTTAAATTCAGTTGAAAATGATTTTTAAAACAGGAATGAAAAATGATTGAGGGGAGAAAATAAACATGTAAACAACAAGGAAGCCATCAACTATGTGTAAATTATGGTCATAGTATGGTATCCTGTGATTTCATTGTTAAATGTTTAATGTGCAGGTTTATGGGGTTATTTTTCACGATATTGAAAAAACTTGCATTAAATATGTTCATCTTGGAATTTTGTGGTTGGTATTTGCAATAACAGCTGCCTATTATGAAGAGACATGCTGCAAAATAGGAACTTTCAATTATACAGAAGCTATAAACTAGGAAGTTTTGGAAACTCCCATAGATTGTTTTTGAAGCAAATGTTTGTAAATAGATTTCTTGTTTTGGTTTAAAACTGTATTGTAAGTCACACCGTTGCTTTTATCTGCCTCTTTTAGAATGAGAGTTGAGTTTGACTCCTTGGTCAGTATTGAAACAAACAAAGTTGTTTGTTTAATTATCATGTGTCAATTATGATGATGACTTACTCTTCCTTTTCCTAATCTCTTCTTGATTGTTTATCTTTTTAAAAGGATTTCTAGCTTGATGTTCAGTCTGTAAATTACCACTTGGTGTGGTGTCATTTTTCAGAGTCACTCGCTGGATAGAAATATAGTAGTTGTAAATTAGTACTGTGACA